GGAGATGATAGCACACCTGTGAGTAATGTCTTATTTCTGAATTGTTGGGTCGCATCATGCGTGGGAATCACTTCACTATCAATCTGTGCCCTGCGGTTCTTTGTATTTAGAGTTCATGATTAACAGAAAGTGATCCATGACTATAATCCACAATTGCATTACATTTTCACTATGCAAACCTGCTGGCCTACAAATGTCGTTGAACTCCAACTCCCTTCAGCCCCAGCCAATAATGTAGTCCAATAATACAGTATATGAATGACACAATGTTGTGGAAAAAAGTAAAGGTAAAGGTACCCCTGCCCATATGGGCCAGTCTTGCCAGACTCTAGGGTTGTGCGCTCATCTCACTCTATAGGCCGGGAGCCAGCGCTGTCTGCAGACACTTCCGGGTCACATGGCCAGCGTGACAAGCTGCATCTGGTGAGCCAGCGCAGCACATGGAAACGCCGTTTACCTTTCCGCTGGTAAGCGGTCCCTATTTATCTACTTGCACCCGGGGGTGCTTTCGAACTGCTAGGTTGGCAGTTGTGGAAGGATCATGTAAATAAATGGAGAGAGTTCATATATGCTTGTGCTGTTTCAATATGGTAAAGACAAAACAGGTTTCCCAGAAAGGCTGCTGGGAAATTCATGAGGGCAGTTTAAAATAAGAATACTTTATATTTTGAGTTTTTCCAACACTTTTGAAGAAGTCCAGTCTTCTCTTCCCCTGAGGTATATTCTGTGAAATGAACTCCCCAGCTTCACCATGCAGGAATTTTGGACGCAAAGGTGAATCTATTTTCAATATTGTTGGAGCTTGGCTCCTCCTCCTCCTAGTCTTCCTCTCTTAAGCCAGTGCTTCCCTTCATCCACCACCATGAGCTAACAACATAATATCATTGGGCACAAAGTAATCTGAGATTTCTCAGAAGAGAGCTTTCGGAGAAAGAGAATTTTGCCTTCCCCACACACCATAATACCACCCACGTGTGAAGAATTTGGAGAGGCCAATTTCTAAAACTTGAAAATTCTGAGACTTTTCTGGATTCCTTATCTGCCCACAAAATATGTGGGGTACCTCCTTGGCAAATTTATATAATCAGATGTCAAAGAAATAAACAGCTATCGGACTTTTAGAAGACATCTGAAGGCAGCCCTGTTTAGGGAAGCTTTTAATATCTGATGAATCGTTGTATTTTAATATTCTGCTGGAAGCCACCCAGAGTGGCTGGGGACACCCAGCCAGATGGGCGGGGTATAAACAATTTATTATTATTATTATTATTATTATTATTATTATTATTAACCACTTTGCTTTTCTCGAACGTATTCTGTATTTGTAGCAAATTATTTATTGATTTAATAAATCACAGATTTGATTTTAATCCAATGGCTATTTTTATATCTGATATTTTCCAGGTGACAAAAATCCTGCAATTGCTGCAATTGCTTTACTAATGATAGCCTAGAGTGTCATTTAAGAATGATAATTTTTAAGGCGTCAGAGGCATCTTTCCATATGTATAATAATGCAGGAGAATGGGAAGCTCCCTGATCAAAAGCACGATGAGAAGCATAATCACATTCATAATCCTTACCCATGGCATTGCTGTTCATAAAGAATACACCAAAGGAATGTCCACTGCCATCTTCCAGGCATAAGAAGAAAGTCTGTGCACCATACAGGTTGTGCATCTCCTTTGGGAGGGGGAAATAGCAATTTAAAATGTGCAGAGCCCATATGCATGTCATGAATCTTCAAAACCTCTTTGGAAATGCAGTTTAAAAGGCTTTATAAAATCTGCCCATCAAAGAATCAAAATGAGATGACTGAACTAAATTTTGTTCCCTAGAATTCACATCCCTAATACTGATCAGTATCATTTATCTTGGTAATCCATCATAAAATCTTGGTTTACTGTTTTGAGCGGAAGGCTATCTAGTTGAGACAGATGTATTGGAATTTAGTCCAGGGCCAAACGAATGAAATTAAATGAGCTGATTTTTATCAAGTTGGCTTAATTCAGCTGTATTAAAGGTCATGGTTAAATTGACCAGTAAATTTCCATTCAGGTGGTGTCCCTTTTTAATGCCCCTGTTTATTTAGAACCAGCTTTTTAAGAGCACATGTGGGGAAAGTTCTACAGGCTCAATTCCTGCTGTTAAAGGCATGACTGTGGGGTCAGTTGAAAGCTGTCAATTATAAATTAAGTTCTGATTCTTATGCTCATTTCTGATGTGGGGAAAGCAGTAAATGGTTCTTTTGAGCCCTCATCATCTTGAAATTGGTCCACCTGCAAAAGTACATTAGGGTTGCATCTAACGCCATATTCCATTTCACAGAAGACTCTTTGACCTTGGTGAAGGGTTCTATGAATGGAAGATAATTTTGGCAAACTCCTATTTTTCTCACACTAGTGGTTTCTAAACTCTTCCTCACCCAATGGACCACTTGGAAATTGTTGTGGGTCTTGGCAGACCACTTAATAGTTTTGTTCTGTGAGAACGTGCTATAGTTGATAAATCATTGTTAATTCTGATCAGACAACTAAAATTGTGTTGTGGTTTTTCCTCTTGCAATTGGCATAAACCTCAGCATTCCAGAAGTCAAGAATTTTCTTTGAACAACTGGTAGCAATGTCAGGTCTGGATAATTTATGCTCTTAGGCAGTTTCTTAGAGAGGCAGTTTCAGTGATAAACACATAGCAGCATGTTTGAGCAGAAACTGGCAGTTTCTTCATAATACATAGACATATGGCTCAGACAGAATGCCATATGAGGCATTCAATCCTATTAAAATCATGAGTAAGAATTCTAGTCAAAATATTTCAGACGCAATTCCTTTCACGGCTAATATTGAAAGCTTAGACTTCACCTCAAAATAAGCAAAAGATTTGGAGGCATTGCTAATAGTGCCCTTCAACAACTGTAACTTCCCTCCAATTATAGGAAGAAATGTTTTCACATTTCAAAAACATTTGCTCCATTTGCATGTCTGATTCGTCTTTCACCTCATAATAAAACATTTTATTTGTCCCTTACTCCAATAGGTGCAGCATCCCGAGTAAAAATGGGCCACGTTTTCCAGTTAAAATCATGCCGATACTGCCTGTGGATCTGTTCTCCGATACCATAAACATTCCAGCTTGGCAGTCTGATGGAGAGCTGCAGGAACTGGTCAGAATACACAAGTGGTCCTATACTGGTGTCGAACCTGTTTGAAGAGCGACAAGAACATAAGTGGAGCCTGGGACCACATGGTAAAGTGTGGGTAAGAAATCTACCAAATAAATGAAGTGCCTAAATATTTTCAAAAGTAGGCCTATGTATATCCTATTATGGGACCAGACATCTCTTCCCCTCTGAAACAAAAATTAAAGAATGTACAAGATGCCAGGGAGATTCTTTAACTCGGGACTTTAGCAGCTGATCTCTAGCAATACCTTAACTCCTGTATCATCAGCACTCTGGATCTTCTGGAAGTCACACATCCTAAACCTTAAAGAAAAGAGTGCCTTCTAGGATGCAGTTCCAGATTGAAAAGTATCAGCTGACATGCCAGCTTGATTGTTGTTAGCTGATTCACCAAGCCAACAGGAATTTACAAGGCTCTATAGAGGCCTTGCCTTCACAACAGCTCACCAGTCTAAGCAACTTGCCTTAAGTGTGAGGACTCTGCCCGCTTTCCTACTTTCTCTGTTGAACTGCTGCCTCAGAGCATGATCCCTGCTATCATTTGTTGGTGCTGGTGCTGACCTTGAAAGCCCTAAATGGCCTCGGTCTGAAACATATCTGAAGGAGCGCCTCCACCCCCATCTTTCTACCCAGACACTAAGGTCCAGCGCTGAGGGCCTTCTGGCTGCGAGAAGCCAAGTTACAGGGAACCAGGCAGAGGGCCTTTTCGGTAGTGGCACCCTCCCACCAGATGTCAAAGAGAACAACAACTACCAGACTTTTAGAAGACATCTGAAGGCAGCCCTGTTTAGGGAAGCTTTTAATGTTTGATGCATTGCTATATTTTAATATTTTGTTGGAAGCCGCCCAGAGTGGCTAGGGAAGCCTAGCCAGATGGGTGGGGTATAAATAAATTATTATTATTATTATTAATTATCATTATCATCATCATTTGACCTTTCATTTACTTCCAGTTCCTCCAACCTTCTACTGCTACCTCAGTTATTGATTTTCTGCTTGTCTCCCCCCAACCCGTTCATTTCTTTTGCTCCACTTCGACTGCTTCTCTGTCCCTTTTCTGCCTGATCTGGTAGCTGACCTCCTACCTGCCGGTGGTCCCATTTGTTTCCCTTCTGTTCCTTGCCTGCCCATGCCTGATGAAGAACCACAGTTGCATCCTGAAACCAAGGACTGACTGACTGGCTGCAGTCAGCATTGGTCAAGGTAATGCAAACATCATACACTACCAGACTGGCTGTGCAATGCCCTTGAAGGGCTTCCTTTACATTTCTACAAGGAATGATAAGAAGTTCCTAGTGTCTTTCGGACCAGGCTACGACATGTTCCTGTATGAATTGACATCTGTCTTGGAATATATTGCACTTATAATAATGAAGACAAGGAAGTGAGTGGCTTCTCATCTGGATAACATCCAGATGGGAATGAGTTTTCCCATCCTCTCCTCCTCCTCCTCAGAATCAAATTGAATGTGTCTCACTTGCGTGTGCCACCTGTGAGAACTGTATCATCTCAAATTTCATGCAGAGGTGGGTTGAATGCAGTGTGTTCCTCATATGAAAATGGACCCAAATAAAAAATATACGATAACAAAAAGAGCAAACTTTTTCTTTCTTTGTCTGATGCGGAGGTCATTTTTACATACCCTCTGACATTTCACTGATTTGTAAGATCCCCAAATTTATAAACTTTGAAATGGGTTCACATGATTAAACAAAGTATCTTCAGTCCATTTGCAGTAAGGACAAAAGAGAATAGCGTCAGACATGCACATGTGGAGAAAAGACAATGTTAAATATGATATAGATCTAGCTTTCTCGGTCTAAAAAGGAATGCATGTAAGTATATACACCCACAAGCAGCAATTCCTGTTTCAAACCACATCCAAATATCTGATAAAGCTGCATATCAAACAAACAAAAAACCCCTGCATTTTATAAAGATAGTGTTAAAGAGGCTAAAGGGACGCAGGTGGCGCTGTGGGTAAAACCTCAGTGCCTAGGGCTTGCATGGTCGGCGGTTCGAATCCCCGTGGCGGGGTGAGCTCCCGTCTTTCGGTCCCAGCTCCTGCCCACCTAGCAGTTCGAAAGCACCCTTAAGTGCAAGTAGATAAATAGGTACCGCTTTATAGCGGGAAGGTAAACGGTGTTTCTGTGTGCTGCGCTGGTGCCGGCTCGCCAGAGTAGCTTCGTCACGCTGGCCACGTGACCCGGAAGTGTCTCCGGACAGCGCTGGCCCCCGGCCTCTTAAGTGAGATGGGTGCACAACCCTAGAGTCGGACATGACTGGCCCGTACGGGCAGGGGTACCGTTACCTTTACCAGAAGAAATCTCTCAAACATGGAACTACTGCTATTTAATTCCTCTTGTAAAAAAAATAGCTATAAGCTATTGTTCTCATGAATTCTCAATTGGACTGTGTAATCTGCTTCTGGCTTTTGTTAGCTATACAAAGCAGGTGTCTTGCACCTGCCTCCCAAACACATAGGATGCTTCAGAACTTTAAATTCCACAGCTCTATAGTCTAGGATTGTTTTCACTGTAATAGGTTGTGCTGAAGCCAGCTCCAAAGCTAGGAGAGGTAACTAATTAATTGTCTTTTGTTTGTCACGGTAATGGTGACCTCAAAAGGGCACAGTCGTGCTTCAGCCCTATTTTTAATTTTTGCTGCTACATGAGAGTTTATCAAGAATGGAATATATATTTTCTCTTTCCCTGTTACCTATCCCCACAACTGAGAGTTCCCAGACTATAATTTTCTTAGGTTATGAATGCACAGCTTTTGTCCAGCTGTTACAGATGTTCCAGGCACCCAAACTCTGATTAGAACATCTGTTGTGAGGGAAACGAATTATTCCAACATTCGATCTCCAATGCATGTCCATAGGTTCTGACGTTTTAAAAATGTGTTAATATTTTACTGCCTTCTCTTAAACTGCTGGTTTCAAATGACTGAGCTACTCTTAAAATGATTTAATATTTGATAGCTTATAAATAATCATATATATTTAGTGGGAATAATAAATAGGTTTCCCTGAATGACAGCTTGCCCACTAATTCTGACTGTCACCCAATAAATGTACAACCATGGTGGACTGCTAAATTTGCCACAGGGTGAAGTCTCAGTGCATGCAGAGCAATGGCAAGGTCTGACAGGTCCAATTAAGCACTTTGATGTGGGTCCCAGAATAATTGCTCACTCTAGAACATTTCCCAGAATCCTTTTCAACAAGCTAACTTCCCCTAGCTAATGTGCAGGGTTCACACAAAAGTTTTATCAATGTGGAAAAGGTTTAATTTATCGAGGAATATTGAGACCCGCTGCCTTATTACATTCTATTATGTTATGGTACTAATTTTATGGGGTAGTGGAGGGCAGGGATGGAAGTGCTTGGACAATTAATGAACAGTTGATTGCAATGTTACTTGTACTAAAAATAAAATGGTGACTTACAGGACGTTGTTAGTGCTCATCCTGATCACACGGATGCTGAAAGGATTCTCAGTTATTTCAACTCTGTAGTTCGTATTTGTTGCTTTAGGTCCTTGAAAGGGTGAAACATTTGGATGGGGGACTTCATATCTCTTATTATCAGGATCTGTAATCTATTTAAAAAATGAAACAATTAAAACAAAGTTCATGGGGAACCCAGAATTAACTTCTACTTATTGAATACCATCTTTCCCTCATCACAATGCATTCCAAATCAGTGGTATGCATGCTACATGTTTAATGAACATAATTAATTGTGTTAAGACTGCTGTACAGTTAAACACTGTATTCATTAGCCAACTCTCTGCAGCTGTAGTTAATGAGTCCATGCAAATTTCCTGATACACTGCGTGTTCTTCAGACTCATTCATTAAAAACACATTTTTATCAATTTCATCCCATTAGCATAAACTGAATGGAAATAATTGTTTTTCTGACCAACACGTTTTCACTAACAATTTTTTTTTAAAAAGGAGTGTTTCAATCTGTCTGCGATAAAATCAAAAGAAGTAGGAGACTTTCATGCTCGACTTCCACTACCTCAAACCTTTACAATGATGACTCTCAATCAGCTTATAGAATCACAGAATTGTAGGGTTTAAGGGTCATTTGATCCAACCCGCTTAAATTTGGGGGACATACACGACCAGACCTGTCAATATTTTAGGAGACCCCTATTCCCCTCACAGGGAAGCAGGTGGCACTGTGGGTTAAACCACTGAGCCTAGGACTTGCCGATCAGAAGGTTGGCGGTTCAAATCTCCACGACAGGGTGAGCTCCCATTGCTCGGTCCCTGCTCCTTCCAACCTAGCAGTTTGAAAGCATGTCAAAGTGCAAGTAGATAAATAGGTACTGCTCCGGCAGGAAGGTAAACGGCATTTCCGTGCGCTACTCTGGTTCACTAGAAGCGGCTTAGTCCTGCTGGCCACATGACCTGGAAACTGTACGCCGGCTCCTTCAGCCAATAAAGCGAGATGAGCGCCACAGCCCCAGAGTCAGTCACGACTGGACCTAATGGTCAGGGGTCCCTTTAACCTTTACCTTATTCCCCTCCCAGAGCTACAGTTCCCAGAGTGGTTAAGCAGGCAATCCCTATGCCTAGGGAACTCTGGGAAATGTAGCTCCATTGGTGCAGATCTTCAGGGTTTCAGAAGAGGAACTGTCTCATCCTAAGTAGAGATGAACCTGGGACCTTCTGGATACAAAACAAATGTTGTACCACTGAGCTATGAGCCTTCTCCTATCTTGAACTCTCCTCCATTGAAGATACCTGGGCAGTCTAAGGATTAGCTACTCACTGCTGGAGATGCTCAGCTAATCACTGCTTTTGTCACCACCAGGAAATCTCAGCACTCTGCAACCTTGCTAAGATTTACCCCAATTTCCAAATAATTGTGTTTATATTGATATTCGTTTTCAAATACCACATGCCAGATTCAGCAACCTGACAATATGTGATTTTCAATGACAGCTTTTCAAGTGAATATTTGGAAATTATCGGGAAATTTGACAGTGACAATGTGAACCAGCAGGCCCACAGTATTCTGATATAAATCTGACAGGTCCTGTTGCAGCATATATTCATGTAAAATGATCTTCAATATGTCTTACGTTTTAAAGAGCTTTGGAAGGTTACTTTGGGTCTGTTTAAGACATAATATTCTATAATGCGTGCTTCCTTTAGCAATAAAATCACAATCTACTTTGAGGGATTTCCTAAACCCTCAAAAAGATTTATTTACAAAGCATGCAACATGGAACCAATGCTTTCATTTATTTTTCTCTTTTTTTAACCACGTAAGGTAAAGGTAAAGGACCCCGGACGGTTAGGTCCAGTGAAAGGCAACAATGGGGTGCAGCACTCATCTCGCTTTTCAGGCCAAGGGAGCTGGTGTTTGTCCACAGACAGCTTTCCGGGTCATGTGGCCAAAATGACTAAATCGCTACTGGCACACGGAGGACTGTGACAAGTGCCAGAGCACACGGAAACACTGTTTACCTTCCCGCTGCAGCGGTACCTATTTATCTACTTGCACTGGCATGCTTTCAAACTGCTAGGTTGGCAGGAGCAGGGACCAAGCAACAGGAGCTCACCCCATCGTGGGGATTTGAACCGCCAACCTTCTGATCGGCAAGCCCAAGAGGCTCAGTGGTTTAGACCACAGCACCACCCATGTCCTTTTACCACATATGTGTATGGTGGAGCTGCAGTGTAAAATGCCTTTGATCAACATGCAACCCAATTCTGAGTGTGACCCGTCAGTTGGACTATTGCTTTAATAAACAATCTAACCTTGAACCGGAAGCGATTTGCGGTCTGATATTCTGCAGTCAGGACAAGCCTTTCAATATCATTTCCGAACAAGGATGGTGCAGGTATTCTTGTCAGTGTAGTTTCAAATCCTTATCAAGAAAAAGAAGTGATAAACAAAGGGTGTTGCTTCCAATATTGCCTAAACCTATGTAGCACAGGAGTCAACAACTAACAGCTCTTGGGCCAAATGCATCACCAGGATACAAAAGAGGCAAAAGAGAAACATGGAAGTAGCAAGTGATACAATGGATTTGCTGATAGACAATTTGGGCCAATCCCATTGTCTTCTGCAAGCGGCCATGGGTGGGGGTGGAAAATGAAGTCATGGCTGTAGCATATTTAAGTGCTTAACTTCACAGTTTTAGTATGCCTTTTTATTTAGTATTTTGGTTAACAACCATGTGATGGAGAACAAATTCTTTGGAAAGACTTTCAACCTTAGTCTGTATTATGCATATCAAACAGCGGATCAGCCTAGTGGTGCTGGCCTCCATACTATTTAATGAAAGAGTGTGCTTATTATTCCTGGAGTAGAACCTACTTCTGCCTACCTGTTTCTGTGTCTGTCTGGCCTCCTTCTACCTGGTATCCATGGCTGTTGGAAAAGTAGCACCAGGGTATGCTTGTTTCATTCTGAGGGCTCCAGCAGCAGCCACGGAGCGTGCATATGTCCTACATTATAAAGAGAGAAAAGTGGTGTTATTTCAGAAGCAGCAATACCCTCTAAATCCGTTTTCTGGACAATGGCATGAGCCCACAGGACTCATTTATGTCATTGCTCTGTAAATGCTGATGCCAGCAGATTAAATTGTCGTCTTCTGCAATTTTGGCATTATCCATGAATGGAAAGAAAGCTTCCATTCTGTGACTCAGGAAGCAATCCTATGCATAGGAAGCTGGTGTAAAGCAATCTGGTGCAAGTTAAGCCAGTGTGAAGTTGCATCAGATCCAAAGCACATTGAGTGGCAGTGATGCCCCATTAAGCTGGCAGAGACAGAACCCCTGGATCCCAAGGTGTCCTCTTATCACATCATTCAGGAACACAAGAGCTGTAGCATTCTTGAGATAGTCAGGAAACTCATTTCATTGCTCTGGATTAATTCTGAAGCAGACTTGGGCAGGTCCACTGATCATTAAGTAGAAGTGAAATGACTGAACACTTCAGAAAAAGTTCAAATTTAAGCCCTATTATGCAGACTGAATAGTTATGCAAATACCTCTGCTCATCTTCCAGTTGCAAGAGCCAATTCTAAACTTTCTGACATTCACCTTTTATATAGCCAAGGGGGAGAATTATACATGTTCAACTACATCTTTCCCTTTTTTTATTTATTTAATTTTTATTAGTTTCAATTCATTATACAACACCAAACATTAAGACAACAGAAAAGACAGAACAAAAAAAAGAGAAAAAACAACAAAGGAAAAAGAAACATTGCATAACATAAAACACCAACAGATTAAACTTACAATAACTAAATAACTAAATCACACAACAATAAATGACTTCCCTTCAACTCGGTTTCGGAATATGTTACAAAGGGTTTTCTATCTGCAGTTTCGTTTTCTTAAAACTCTTTATGTCGTGGGTGTTACATCAAGGCTACTGTGATTTTTAAATTTTTTGCATCTGTTTCAATATATGTCATAAATTTATTCCACTCATTATTAAACTTTGTACCTTTTTGGTTTCTTATTTTCTGTGTCATTTTTGCCAATTCTATATAATCAAATAATTTAGATTGCCACTCATTTATAGTTGGGATTTTTGATGTCTTCCAGTTTTGTGCAATTAGTGTTCTAGCAGCCACTGTTGCATATTGGAAAAGTGTTTGGTCTTCCTTTTTAATTTCAACTACATCTTTCCCATTATGCAGACATTTCTGTGCCAACAACAACAAAAAATACAATGGTCGCATTCTCCGGGATGAAGTGCTCACTCCTTCATTTCTATCACATTCATTCAGTGACAACCTCTCTTCCCACACCAATTCGTAAAAGAGGACTTTAAAACATTCAGACAATTGCCATATCAATCAAGAATCAACTGCAAAGCAACCTTTGGATGTTATCCCATAATCTCTGTGATTCATCTTACAGTACATTGTAAACTAATGAATTTATATAGAAGCTCTTAATCACCAACACACATTTGCCTTCACAGAAAGGCTAGTTCCTTATCACAAGGAAATTGCCCGTTAACAAGAGAAATATTTGGAAGGAAAATTGTTTGTGCACACTTCTGAAGCTCTTAACCCAACCCCCACCCTGGTCTTCCAACAACCAACTTCAATTGCACAGCTTCTGTATTTCAATTCCCCATTTCAATTATCAGCATATCATGAGTTTGATCCATGATTTTTTTTTAATGCAAAAATTGATGGTCTGTACGTGAGAAAGTTTCTGTGAGATCCATACGTTTTTGCACCTGCTCACCTGTTTCCCCCAGTCTGTTGTTCCTTAAGGAATAGCATAAATTGAGAGGGTTTATTCAAGCTGGGCAAGGTTCACATAATTAACACAATGACATTAGAGTGCTCTGTATCCAATAATTTCTGGCTACATGGCAAATTCACATGCACACACACAGAGAGAGTGAGTGAATGGAGCTCTGTCTTTGCCCTCACTCTGAACAGTAAAATAAAGATAATCAGTAGCCTCCAATCTTGACACACCACAGTGGTAGCTTAACTGCCCAACACAACCTCGTTGCAAAACATTCAACCCAGTCTAGAAGGAATCACATGAAGTTGGGCATGACCAAATGTGGATGATTATACAAGTTCAGATGAGCATGAATGCACATTCTCATTCTACCTTCAGTGACCAGAAGCACCTTCTACCTGTAAGACTGGTAGGACAGCTAAGGCCACTCCTGAACGGGGAGAGCTTGACCACAGTACTAAAGGCATTGTGGCTCCAAGGCTGGATTACTGCAGTGCACTCCTTGGCAGTGGTGAGGTCTAAAAGGAGGTTTGTCAAGGTCTCAGCCTTTGCTTGCAAAATGCACCTTTATTCCTCCATTTCTTTTTCCTTGTTGGGAAAGGCAGAGAGAAAGGTGTGCTTGCAAACAAAGGCAGGGGACGTGCTGGAGAAGTCCTCTCCATTGCTCTTGCTTCCGAAACACATCTTCATTTCCCTGTTTCTCATCAAGCAAAGGGGCAGAGGCAAATTTTGGGCAGTGCAACCGGTTCCATCACACTGGGTGCTGAGCCTAAAGGTAAAGGGACCCCTGACCATTAGGTCCAGTCGTGACCGACTCTGAGGTTGCGGCGCTCATCTCGCTTTATTGGCCGAGGGAGCCAGCGTATAGCTTCCGGGTCATGTGGTCAGCATGACTAAGCCGCTTCTGGCGAACCAGAGCAGCGCACGGAAACGCCGTTTACCTTCCCGCTGGAGTGGTACCTATTTATCTACTTGCACTTTGACGTGCTTTCAAACTGCTAGGTTGGCAGGAGCAGGGACCGAGCAGCGGGAGCTCACCCCGTCGCGGGGATTCGAACTGCCAACCTTCTTATCGGCAAGTCCTAGGCTCTGTGGTTTAACCCACAGTGCCACCCGCGTCCCTGGGTGCTGAGCCTAGGGGGCGCTAAAGGGCGTCACAACAATGACATAGTGAATTGAGCAAAACGGAAGGTGAGAGGCGGTAGGCACAGATTTTGGCCTTGGACAGAGTGTCACTGAAATCTGAAAGACCAGTATCCATCCCTGAAAAGGGAGGGGAGAAGGAAGGGTATGTTTTGCCAGCAAAGGGGACTTCTTTCTTCTATTTCTTCTACCTTGAAGAGATTATTTGCTAGAAAAATTCACTTCTAAATCTATGCACCAGCATATCTGCCTTCTGCTTGCAGAGTCCCTGCAGGGCACTGAAATGTCAAGGTCTGTCACATCCCTCTATCACAGTACTCGCTGGGCCCTGGTAGCCTGTTCTACTGCAATGTTATCTGTTGCTGTATTTTTCCTCACTTGTAAATATATACAGTGGATTGCACATTCACACTTCTCTAAGCCATACTAAGCTTTATCCACAAGGGTCCCCTGGATGTGACCTACAGTCTAATCACAATGGATTGCATCCAGTTGCCAGCATGAGTGGAAGGAAGTATACTCCTTCCTGCTGCAGCCTCCTGTTAACAGGGAAGAAGCAGAGAAGGCAGATCTGCACATGATCACAACCCTGTTCTAAAGCTTCAGTGCGTGGGAACAAATATTGAATCTTCTGAAAATCTCAATGTCCAGTTTATCTGCACAGATTTCTCGCCCTTCTCTTCTTGATCTTGATAAAAAGGTGGGCTGTACTCCCTTCCAGGTTCTGCTTTTAAAAAGCCTCAAATATTATATTATACAATTATTATATGCATAATAGTATACACAGATAAACTCCATGTTTTCTAAAGTAGCCCCCACATAAACAGATGTGGCAGAAGAATGGGCAGTTGTTCTGTCAGTGCAAGGATTTCTGCCTGTTCAGTGGCCTTCCTTGCCCTCTCATCTCCTCCCCCACACACTGCACATTTCCCAAATCTGCTCTGAAAGGTTGAGGTGAACCCCAGAACAAATATAGGTTTTTGCACAGAGCGGGGGGGGGGGAGATAGGGAAAGATCAAATGTTCAAGCATATATCATTGAGCTGACGGAATGAATCAGTTGGATATTGCTCAATGCATATAATTGTATTTAGAAAATACTTTAAAGGTAAAGGTACCCCTGCCCGTACGGGCCAGTCTTGACAGACTCTGGGGTTGTGCGCTCATCTCACTTAAGAGGCCGGGAGCCAGCGCTGTCCGCAGACACTTCCAGGTCACGTGGCCAGCATGATGAAGCTGCTCTGGCGAGCCAGAGCTGCACACGGAAATGCCGTTTACCTTCCCGCTAGTAAGCGGTCCCTATTTATCTACTTGCACTTAAGTAGTGCTTTCGAACTGCTAGGTTGGCAGGCGCTGGGACCGAGCAACGGGAGCGCACCCCGCCGCGGGGGTTCGAACCGCCGACCATGCGATCGGCAAGTCCTAGGCGCTGAGGTTTTACCCACAGCACCACCCGCGTCCCTTAAAAAAAAAAATACTTTAGGCAATATCTAATTAACTCGTTCTATAGTGGAAGGACAGATCCTGAAGCTGAGGCTCCAGTACTTTGGCCACCACGTGAGAAGAGAAGACTCCCTGGAAAAGACCCTGATGTTGGGAAATATGGAGGGCACAAGGAGAAGGGGACAACAGAGGACGAGATGGTTGGACAGTGTTCTCGAAGCTACTAACATGAGTTTGACCAAACTGCGGGAGGCAGTGAAAGACAGGAGTGCCTGGCGTGCTCTGATCTATGGGGTGACGAAGAGTCGGACATGACTAAACAACAACAACAACAACAAATAGTGCAAGGATTTATGCTTGCACAATGGAACAGTCCCTCTTCTCCTCCCTATTCCCAGTACCCTTCCCAGGTATGTCCCTATGGGATGAGGGGCAACCCAGAATATATGTAGGGGAAAGGAAAGGAGGGAAAGTTATGTTGCACAAATGTGAATTCTCATGCTGACAGAATGTGTTTAGATAGTATTATGCTGGAATCAGGCCTTAAGTATTAATAGTTTTACAATTATGCTACAGAAATATAGTAACACACAGGGCTTGACTTTTTCATACATATTATTTATGTTATACATGGGTTTTTGCATAAGTGACTCATATATAAGCAAATGTTCAATGCAAGAGGCACTCCATCATGGGCAAAGCTTGATCAGAGGCATCAAATTCCATTTATAATGGAATCTCTCCTCTGTGGGGGGCATTTGCACAGATGGACATATGCCTCAGGGACACCTCAGGGACTTCTTGATTAACATATCTTTGGAAATCAATCAGCCCATATCAAAAGTAAAGGGGGAGGGAACAGAAAATAACCAGTTCCTCATCAGTATTAGAAATAACTAGAGACACCACACTATGATAATGATTGACCAAGCTAAAAAAAGATAAGAGAGTAAAAAGGTTAAAGCTTACCAACCGTTCATTTCACCTATAACCACATAAATTGTTCATGAAAGCAAATACTACTGGAGAAAGGACTTTTGCCACTGAGAGGAACTCTTATCAGACCTTCAATATCAGACCTCTCAGGAACGTTCACCGGCATAAATAAATGATAGTACAGAGCTAATTGCTTTCTGGTTTCCCCAACTGAACAGAGGTCAATGCAGATTTTTCAAGTCCAGGAGCTGCTGACAGACCTCCTGAACCACAGAAGGCTGGCAAGCCAGAGTTTCTGGATTTCATCTGCCTGCATTTCCATTTTCACAACAATTACTGTATATTTCCGTGTATAAGATGAGGTTATTTTATCCAAAATTTATGCTGAAAATTGGGGGTTATCTTATACAACTTTCAGATTTGAAAATAAGGGATCAGCAGAATAGCTGTCAACTTTCGAATATGAAAATAAGGGATCAGCAGCCTCACCTGACCCGGAGACAGTCTACGGGATAGCTAACAATCCAGGATCGCAGCGGGAAGCAGTGGGAAACGGCGCTGAAATAAGGGAATTTCCCGCAAAAAAGGGAAGGTTGACAGCTATGCTTATACATGGACAGTGGAGAGATGGGATGGGCGATTGGTGGCTGCTGCAAGCAGGAGATTTTCAAGGACATTATTTGCTGGTGATTGGTGGGTGTGTCAAGGTCCGCTGGTTATTGGCTGTTGCTGGAATTGGGTGGGTGATTGGCGTTTGGTTTTGGTGAGCATGAAGAGGATTGGTTGCTTCGTTGATGTGCATGCAATTGGCTGTGGCGGCCCTGCGGGTGATCAATTTTTGGCAATCCCCCCCCCCAGATCAACAACTCTCGGCAATCTCCCCGTTTACTCAATTTGGAGTCCCAAAAAAGAGGGGGCGTCTTATACACGGGACTGTGTTATACACGGAAAAATGCGGGAAGTATAGACAGCATGATATAAACCACTTGCAGATCTTTGGTAGGGAGAAAGTTGCCCTGATGTAATTAGCAGCAGCATCCAAAATAAGCAGTGGCATAGGAGCAGCCATGCTTTCTCCCATAATTTCCTCCATGGGAGTAACAGAACATGATCCAGGCAAGGGGTTGGGCTAGATGACCCTTGGTGTCCCTTCCAGTTTCACAGTTCTATGATTCTGTTATTCTTATGCATAGCAGACCCCTTGAAATAAGGAATCACCATAATGGCAGAGTGTGGCCAGGCATCTCCTTCCTCTCTGAACTAATTCCATGGGGAGGAATAGCCATTTCCAATTCCTCAATCCTTCCATCCTTGCTAACTTTGTATCCTAATATGTTCTCGTCCACAGACAGCTGATAACTGACTTCCTTCTCTAATTTTATTATTATTATTATTATTATTATTATTATTATTATTAGTTGTACCTTTGTTGCCAATGTATCTGGGATGCAGTCTATTCTCTCCGATGGTTGCACAACTGGGCAAGTTGGAGAAAATTCTGCAATAGATCAAGCAATTTATCACATTAGTCAGAGGCCAGGGCAAATATATGAATGTATTTTAAAAAGACACAAATGATGGGTGCCGAGAGCCCCAGCTTTCCTTTATCTTTTTATATCAGAGGTCTGTCACAAAAAACTAATTACTGTACTTCTGCACCAATAGGCTGAGCCTGGGATAGTCTTGGCCCTTGTTTTTATTCAAACCAAACAACTCTGAATCTAAGAACTAATGGTTGAGCTTATTTTTCCTCCTCCCTGCCATTCCCTTTTCCTTCTGTGTCATCTTCTACTGTAAACCTGAGGACAGGTACTTATTGCTGAGCTTTGAAATCTTCTGTGGGAGCCCATTCAGCTATAGAGTAGAAACGCTTTACATATTTTTTTTACTGCATTTTTATACCACCCTTCCTCTAAACTGAGTTCAGGGTCAGGGGTGCCAACTTGAATAAAATATTGTGGGGACCCAAGGAAGCCCCGCCCTGCATAATCAGTCACATGACACAGTGCACACCCACCATTTGAATGGGAATGTCCATCAACTTTCTGGGGGCCTGGCCCCCTCAAATATTTCATTGTGGGGGCTGAAGCCCCAATGGTTCCTAGGAGTTGGCTCCTGTGTTCAGGGTGGTGTACAACTAATATTTTACCTTACAACAAATATTAAAATGACAACATACAACCACCCCACAATAGCATGTCAATGGACGCCTGTTTCTGTTCAGAAAAAACAACAGAAATCTTTCATTTTCTGCCTTTTAAGCTAACAGCTGAAAATGTGAAAACATCGCAAAGCATGAAATACTTCTGTACTTTTCCCCTCAGAGTGTTTGGTTTAAGCTACCATGCTCTCATCTAAGGAATATTTTCCACAAAAGGGCTTATTTCATAACAACTAATTTTTTCTCCCCCACCCTTCTTCCCCCCTCTCTCTTATGCTATGAGACTAGAAGTCTGATTTACTTCTCAGTTCAGACAAATTACTTGTATTCAATCCAATTTGCTTAAAGTAACTATATATATTTTGAAAATGAATTGTTGCTTGTTTTGCTTTCGCCCTCCTGCCAACCTGTTCATCTGCTCAGATTGAATAACATGGTTTAAAGATGAAGATAAATGAAAAACTAAAAGTACCAGGCAGGATCCTGCTGCAGTTAAGCACTTCTAAAGCCTCATCGACTTCAGCGGAAGAGTTAAGCACATGCCAAATCTCTCCCATCAAAATCCTTGGAATGGATGCTAACTAAAGAATAATTGATTGTACCATATTATAACTACATTATAAAATATATAGTTTATTAAAATAAGCCCCTACTGGTTTGAGTAAATCCCAGCCTAAACAGAAAAGCATCAGTTTGTTTATCAGGGGAACAAACAAGAGAAAGGAAATTCCATATGTGAAATGTCCCAGGTTTATGGATGCAAGGTTTTCAGCACATAATTTCCACAAACATGGGAGAAGCGTCTATCATATCTCACAGCTCAGTGCTTTGAGTGCAAAAAGTTTCAGGTTGAATCTCCAGGTTGAATTCAAAAGATTGCAGTCTTAAACCTTAGAGAGTTGGGTGTGAACCAGTACTATTTTTCTAGAAAAAGAGGTGCTGGAACTAAGCATGATAATAGCCTTCATGTAAACTGATTAATTGGCTTAACATTCATGTCATTCATTAAAGTTAGCTGTATATATTCACTAATTAGTTCCTTGCTGCTGCTAACCATGAGTCAACCTGCTTCCCACAAACATTTTGAAGACGACATATTTTCATACCTTTTCATAAAAATAAACTTGGGTTTTGAAAGGTTGGAACCTGTTCCACGTGAGATGGAAAAGAACCGTCACCTTATAGTTCTTGAGCATCTCCCCAGGAAAGATACACCATATTTGCGAGACTGCTGTGGTATCTTATCAACTGATCTATTGCCTAATTGTTAGACATGTTGAACCAAATTCTTCACTTCTTAGTGGGACTAAAATCAACAAGCAAACAAAACACATTGCTAATAGCAAGAGTATACATAACTGGGGGGGGGGTAGTTTTATTTATTTTTGTTTCAGAAAAACTATGACAACCAGTGTGCTAGATTGCCGTATGACTGACTGATTGCTGAAATTCATGGATTTCTGAACCATTACCTTTGAATCCAGTATGGCCTGTTGCTAAAAGCCCAATCAAAACACTGGCAATAATCGCTGCCAAAAGGAAGAGGGTGATCAGGGAGACTTCCAATCCAGTAAATTCTTTCCTTCCCATCTAGCAAGGGAGAATGAGAGAAACAAAAACATTAAGAAAAACACAACATTAAGAAGGAACATTCGAGGAAGGCGTAAATGTCTTAAAAGCATTTGTTTGGGAGGGGGAAAGTATCCTTTGATCCCTGTAGTTAAAATATAACTATGCCGTTTTCAAAAGCACTGAATTATACAGCTTACACTCTTCTGCACCGTGCTATTAAAAGAACCATCTCCTTAACGATTGAGATGAATTTTGTGGATTTTCTTGGGGGGGGGGTCTTTTTGAGGAGGGGGAGGTCTTGTCTCATGGGCCAAGGTATGTTCCTCCTGGATAGAAAACATTGCACCAGTGAAAATAGAAACACTTCCAATAATCTTTTCCCTGTTTTGATGCCATAAAGTTCTTGAAAAATACACTATGTTTATTTGGAAAGGGAAGCCAACATGAGCATAGACTGAAATACAATTTAAGTTTGATCTCTTAGCGTGATTTGCAAGGGGTGGGGGGAATTTACCAGCTGCTCATCTTGGCTGAAATCCCTAGGGAGACAGAATGCTTAGTAAAGTTAGGAATGATGCCCATCTTTGACAAACAGGCACTGCTGAAGTGTTAGGGCTCCACAGCCAACTGCTCAATCTTGTGTGAAAAACAACATGGAACTATTAATGTTTAACTGTATCTAGCAATAAAAATGCATTTAAACCAGTGTCTAGCATTCAGTAAATCAGTGGCTGGATTTAGGTTTGTCAATGGGATGAACACATTTTCCCTAAAATACAACAACCCCTAGCTTTTTTAACATCAACAACAAAACATCCATAATGAAGATGAGTGAAATTGATTTCTAAAATAATTGAGAGTGTTCAAATATCTCTGCAATGAAGTAAATAAATTTAAAAATGTATAAGTTAAAACTGAACTACCAGCTGCATTATTTCAATTCGTTCTTACCCCCTTATCTCTGATTTTCTACATCTATGCGTTTGGAAGGCTATCAGCCACAAGAAAAAAGAAACGACATAGTGCTTGCGTTTTAACAGATTGGCTTGAAATGATTGTTAAATGACAATAACAAAGTACCGTAAAGAAAAATAAAATTTGAAATAAGAACAGAATTCAGGCAAAATTACAGTATATTTTACATTTCATTATAGACTTTCAGAGTGACAAAAAGACCCTCACATTTATGTACAATGGTTTTGATCCTATCATTCAGTTCATGAAAGGGGGCACAATTTATGCCAGTTTCTCCTCAATCTACAACTTCCTGTATCACATCCTAAGCCACCCTCTGCACTGCAAGTTTCAGGAGCATATTATCAAGGGCTATAAAAGAAGGCAGAATTGTTGAGCTAATTTACTAAAGAGTAATTTTAAGCTTTTGGAGCTGTTTCCGCTGCTTTTTTCCATCGTGCTGCCATACATCCAGGTCATGGGTAGGCAAACTAAGGCCCAGGGACCGGATCCAGCCCAATGGCCTTCTAAATCCGGCCCGCGGATGGTCTGGGAATCAGCGTATTTTTACATGAGTATAATGTGTGCTTTTATTTAAAATGCATCTCTGGGTTATTTGTGGGGTACAGGAATTCATTCATATATATTTTTCTTTTCAAAATATAGTCCGGCCCCCCACAAGGTCTGAGGGACAGTGGACCGGCCCCCTGCTGAAAAAGTTTGCTGAACCCTGAAGTTTTCCTTGACATTTTGCTGCTTTGACGCCACTTTTACACCCAGAAACCAGGAAATGTCAGGAATTTTCCTGTCATATGGCAAGTCTAATATTATCTTGTCACATTCTCCACAACGTCATTACTACAATTATTCAACAGATAAGACACGCTATAAGTCAGTGCAATAAATCCCCTCCTTCAATAAGGGGCCCAAATAATTATCACATATTTTTGCATAAAATGGGCCATAAAATAAAAGGTGTGTGGTGGAGGTGGATTCGACCTGTTTTGTGCCACAAAGGCAGAATCTTTCAGAGTATGGGATTTTCGAAAATCTACCTTGCAAGCTGCAGGCGGTAAGACATTAAATCTTGCAAGGAAAAGGGCTCTGCATAGGTGGGGATCATAAAGCTGGTGTAAATTTGGAGTGTCCTGGCCAAGCGAGGGTGGAATTCCCAACCCCAGTGGGGAACAGGTTTTATTGGCTGCACTGCAAAGGGTTTGGAATTCAATCTCTAGGATTCTGCAATTGATTGTCTGGAATGTTTCCAATTGTGGGAGCATAAGCAGCAACTCGAGTAATAGGTTCTGATTTTGCTACATTACAGTTACCACATATTTGTCACACAGGAAGCTACTGAAACTTTTTGTTTGTTTGTTATATATTTAAAAAACCCAAGCAAACCTACCTCTATACTCCTGCGGCTTCCTCCATGTATTGCTGCCAAATAGTCCTGTGTCAGAAATGATGCCTTGCCTTGCAGGCTCTTAACTATATACTGATTCCCTATCAGTTCCTTGTATTATATTTTAACTAGGCTATCAGTAGATTATACACAAAGCCACAGGCAGATTGTGGCTTCTCTTTGCAGGCAAGGGAATGATTAGTTAATTAATAATTCCCCCCCCTCCCCTTGCATATCAGTCATGCGACATTTGGCAGGTATAATCACACATGCAGTTAGGTATCGTTTCTGCATTCGCCACCTTCGCCCTGAGCCACTGTATGACTCCCAGTTTATTATTTTAATTGGACTTTTGCTTATCAGTTCTTTCTCCATTTCTCCTGCTTAATGTCAGCATAAATCAGTTGAAGTTTCATGGAGGTTAAAAAGAGATTCCTAAAGTTCTGTTGCAAAACAAAGGATGCAGTTTTGATCGCTAGGAGAGTACTCCTAAGCAGTAATTGGGAGTATTCATACAACACAATTGTGAACCATAAGAGGAAGAAAATGTAGAAAGTAGCAGAGGAGAATGCTCTGAATCTTTTTTCCCCTGTGAAGGGGGGGGGGAATAAACCACATTCCTTTAGCTATCCATCCATTTTTCAACAAACAAAACACTGCATGCACTGTTTGCACAATATCAGTTAACCATAAAAGCATTGCAAACTATATGTGATGTCAAATATAATGCTGCTGGAGAACACTGGAACATTTCTTTTAAAATGACACAGTATAGTAATGAGGCTGTGGTCTGCTTTAGAGCATCCATGAAGTAGGGCAGGGGGGGTGAGAGTGGGCTTTTTAAATCTGTAGTCTCTGTCCTCCCCCACCAAAAAAAAAATGAATCACTCACTCCAAATGCATTTGTGGCTATAGAAGAAATCACAACATTATTCATATATGTCTGTCCACAGAAAGCAGTTGTGATTTTCAGCCGAAAGGCTGCAGGGTGTGAATGGGTTAATAAGTCCTTCCTCCTCTGCCTCCGCCTCCTCCTCTAGATGGGAGAGAAATGTGCTCATCTCACCTTTTAGCCTTCAAAATTTTGACTTCAGTTCAAAATATGAACTAATACTAAAATCCTTTGAAATAAAAACTTTTCTGAAATTTGCAATGCAATTCTCCAACACACACCCCTTGTGAGGGGGGAGTGTACAAAATGCACACATTAGGGTAAACAATTGCATAGAAGAAAGAGTCTATTAGAAGAAATGGGGACATAAACGTGACAACATTTTTTGCAAGGCTACTCTTCTCAAATGCAAGCCGAGGCAGAAACTGGCCAAGCTGAAGGCTGGAATTATGAGGAAGTGAGAGAAATTGAAAGTGACATCCCCACCTTCTCCTCCCTAAGGAAGTTGGAGGCAGACTGTGGGCTGCATATTCTTCCGAGAGAGAACTTTTAAAAACACACACACTATGTGTGCCTCAACAAAAAATGTTGTTTGACCCTTAAATTCCGAGCTCTGTCTAAGCCATCAGAAATGAAACTACCGTCCTGGCCCGGATATAAGCTGCACTTTTAGAAAAAGTTAAAGGGTGGCTTATATTCGCAAGCTTACAAAAATTGGCTTTTACGCACCAACCATTTCAGTTTTAATGATGGGGCGGGGGCAGGAGAGGGGGGAGATGGGATCTCTTCTCAATCCTCCTTCCACACCCCTGCAGGTTCTTTTTGGACGCGAGTTCCCACACACCCGGATCCCTTCCTCCCTCCATCTTCCTTATGGGTGGAGCAGGAGCCCGAAAGCTGGGCCAGGAATTCAAGAAGGCTCCCAGTTTTTGGAAGCAGAAAGACAGCTCTGCCCCTGCCCTTTGCCCCATCTCTTTCCCTGGTGCTTCGCTAAGGTGTGCCCTTTCTTCCAGCAGCGAAGCAAGCCAATCGGGTGCCTGGGGTGGTACACATGCCCTGTGTCTAGGGGTGGGGCCAGCTGTCTGTGGGGCAGGGCAAGCCAGGGCAGGACGCTCCACGGGGCCTCCAAGGATTCTGCCTCCCTCCTCCTACTCAGCCGCCCTACAGCTGGGGGGAGGCAGAGGGCAGAATGTTTGGGGCAGCGTGGAGCCTGCGGGCGCCCAAGCCACCGCATTACTCCCAGGAGAGACACATGGCTCGGGCATGCTGCAGGCCCCGTGGTGAGTGCCGCCCGGCATTTTGTCACCCCCCTCAGTGGTGACACCCGGGGAGGTCTGCACCCACCACACCCCCTTCCTCCACACCCACTTCCTGCCCCTCCCTGCTGCTGATACTCGTCTCCTTCGTGAGGTGGAATGAGCCTGGATCCCAGCCACTCCCCCCCCCAAAAAAAGATTTGGGGGCAAGCAGGACCAGCCCTCCTCAGCCTCCCCTCCTCCCGTTTGCCTTTGCCAGGCCGTATATACACAGGGAGAGGAACACACTCTCGCTTTTCCCTTGGCTCACGTTTCCCTTTTCTTCTCAATGGGGCTTGCTGACCGCCCCATTGAGCCTCAGTTGTTGAACGTTTCAGAAGCCGAATGCATTTACGGGTGTGAGTGCCTGCAGTATTTTAAGGGAGCAGCTTATATTCGGGCATTGTCTTTTATTCTTTCTCCCCCTTGAATTTTAAAGGTGTGGCTTATATTCGGGCCCGTACAGTATTAATAAGAGCACGTTCATTTCGATTAAGAGCAATACAGAAAAGCAGAGCTGATGTGATTGTACACTTTAGCTTGTGCAGTGTTATATGAAAAATAACTCACAAAACGTAGTTTGGCGCAATCAGGCGTAAGATCACATGGTGGCTGTTTAAGAGTGCTGTTGTGTCAGAACACATGTGCATATCAGTAGCAAGGGTAGGCTGCAAATGAATCATAAAACTGCATCAAACATGCTTCAATTCCAGAATGTGTATTAGAAACCTTCCTGATACAGTGGTACCTCGGGTTGCATACGCTTCAGGTTACATACACTTCAGGTTACAGACTCCGCCAACCCAGAAATAGTACCTCGGGATAAGAACTTTGCTTCAGGATGAGAACAGAAATCGTGTTCCGGTGACGGCAGCAGCAGCAGCAGGAAGCCCCATTAGCTAAAGTGGTGCTTCAGGTTAAGAACAGTTTCAGGTTAAGAACGGACCTCCAGAACGAATTAAGTACTTAACCCGAGGTACCACTGTATTATACTATACAAACTGAGAAAGATTTATATGTTGGCACAAAGCAAGTGTTGAGCAAATTTCTTTTTCTACATAGATTTTGTAAAAGTCTCCATAAATCAGACTTTCTGGATTGCAGTTCAAAGTTTAAAATGGGGATAAGACTGGTTACTTATTGCCACTAGATCTGAAGGTTTTCTTACTGGGTTTTATCTCAAGGACTCAAGTCTCAATGTTAAATCGAAAATGGCCATTAATCTTCTTTACGCTGCTAGAACCTCTCCCCTGTTATCAGATGGTTTAGTAAAATACAGAACATAGTAACTATATCTAAATTAACATATTAGAGAAGAATAAATAAGGAACAACAGCCAAATAAATTTATCGAAAGAGTTTATTTGTGATTCTGAGGAGTGATACATTTCAGGACAATATCCAGCTGCATATTTCTTTTATTTTATTGCAATTGTCCATTCCTGTGATGTCAATATCTAAAATTATGTACAGTTGTACCTCTACTTACGTATCCCTCTGGATATGTAAACTTCAGGTTGCAAACCCGGCAAACCCGGAAGTGTATTCGGGTTTCGCCGAATGTGCATGCACAAAAGCGCTCTTTACCTCCAAAGTAGCCCCACATAGAGCGCATTGCAGTAGTCCAAGCGGGAGATAACTAGAGCATGCACCACTCTGGTGAGACAGTCTGCGGGCAGGTGGGGTCTCAGCCTGTGTACCAGGTGGAGCTGGTAGATAGCTGCCCTGGATACTTAAAACATTTTGTGGGGGGAAATACCAGGTTTTACCTAAGAATAGCTACTTGCATCCTCTGGATATGTTTAGAACATTCTTCATTGGGAATATTTGCTTAATTCTTACCAGGCATTTTCAAGGTTTCTTGTCACAAAAGATGTTTGCAAAAAATAAGTCTGTGTCGCTTAGTAGTTCACCTGTTCATGTTGCTTAATTCTGGGTTTTTTAAAAAAGACAATTATGTCACATTTCAGAGACTTACAGATGTTAGAATCTTAACGCGCCACTCCTCAGAACTGCAGGATCAAAAGCAACTTCTCTGCCAGCAACTGAGACAAGTTTGGTCAGATATATTCAGCCTGGTTATATTTCTATCCCTGCTCCCATCTGGAAGCTTCTGTGCACAACAGCAATATTTTAAAATAGCTGCTAGAAACTTGATGCGGAACAGTGCCATGGATAAATATTAACAAAAGAAACTGCTTTTGGAGCCTAACAGAAGTTGTGAGTGAGAACACCAGAAAAAAGGCAAGGTTCTCCATCAAGCATGTGCAGAAGAACTATGCAAATCTACAAAATTAATACCTATAGATCAAGGATGAGGAAAGTACTTGTGATTATACCCACCCTCACCTGCATTCATTGATCACCTTGAAAGAGCTTTCTTCAGGTAGGAAGAAATACATGAAGAAATACAAAATCCATTCATGAAACATATAGTGATTAATTGAGCTGATGCCTTTGAAGTTGCAGAACCTCTGAATTTTTGATCCCAGAATTATTCCTAACCCCAGCAACCTTGGAATTTGCTATAGGTACATATCCTGTCTGCAACTCAGTGAAGTTAATAATTATTGATCAGCACAAACCTATGTGCATTTATTTCAAATAAGTCTCATAAAATTCAATGTGATTTAGTAGTACATGTGTTTTGGGCTTCAGTTAAAAGTGCAGTCCTAGGCAAGGATGGGCAAGAAGTTTGCTTAGTTCACATTTTGATGCAAACCTACCTAATTTTCATATCCTGGACTAATAAGAGAAATGAAATTCACCTATCCTTTGGAATTCACACTTCCCCAAATTCTGTGAGGCAATTGACAAACAGAAAAGTGTTCACAAAGGTGAAAATATTGGTGCAACTAATGCACAGAACTACATTACATCTCGAGAAATTGCTTGCAAATGTGGGATAAAATTGCACAG